CCTTGCTATCATAACGCTTACGACTGCTCTCTGAATCGCCCAATAAGAAATGGACTTTCAGCCAGAATTCCAGCCGCTTCGTTCTACTGAGGGTTACCAGAAGAAGGATAGCGATCTTCCTTCAACAGCCATTGATATAGGTGACAGTTTTACGTGCATTAGGCAGTTACTGAGCTTAATTGGATCCCTAGTTATTATATGCGCGTAATATAACACTGGTGGCAAAAAACTGGCTTATATTCTTCAGATAGTTCAATGAGAGTAAGACGACCGCCACCAGCGGACGCAGACCAACCCAGAGGTCTGTTGATCCCTGAAAAGTGGATTTCATAATTTTCAAGCTAATAATTTCAGAAGGTGACATATTGGCCAAGAAGGGATATTCAGGAGAGCTAGTGAAAGGTACAGACCAAAGATATCGCCAGATTAAGGGAAGAGCAGAAGAACCAGCACTTGAGGTTAATGAATATGGCTCACACTTCGTTCCCTTTAAAAAAGCCACATCTTTCCTTACTTGCCACATCTTTCTTGCACATTTCAATGATTTGGCAGCCGCTGTCCTCACTTCGCCTGTGTTGCATGGTTTCGTACTAGGACCATACACAAGTCAAAGGTAAACCCAGCCATGTATATTGTTGATGGTAGCGCTCAAATACAGACCTATAATTGCTGAATAACTCTCCACGGAAGGAGGAAGCAAAAAAATACCAGAAAACATCCTAAATAAAGACCTGTCAGCCTCTCTGGACGAGTTCTTCGGACCTGCTCGTTTCATGCCAGCGAAGCGGTATCCTGCCACCCCTAGCTCAATAATCGTCTCTCGGTCATTCAGTACTAATATAATCAAAAGTCGAAAAAAAACGCAAAACGCGGGGTAAAAACTGAACTCGTGACAGAAGATAGCCTTGAGTTTCGGTGGGCGGGACAACTAGAGAGGCGTCAGAAATGCCATTTATGAGGGCCACAGCGCCTTCGTCACTTACTGTGAAGCTGCGGGAGTAGCATAATCTTACAAGGGAGGTCTTTCAGGTCGTGGCGCGCTTTTTGGAAATGGTTTGTTGCTTGTTGTAGGGGTCCATACAAGGATCACAAAAATGGGTTTCATTTTTGCTATGCGTTTCTGGGGAGGTCAAAAACTGAGTGAAAAATTTGACAAGAATGGGCGATTTTAACTATCTTAATGGGCTCCGTTCTGATTGTAACTTCATGCATAGTTTATGAGGTGCTCGTTATTAGGCTTCGAAATAGATTTGAATAAAGTCAAAATGTAAGTATCATGTAGTAACACACTTGGCATGCACCGACGCAACAGTGATGTTTTTGTCAGCGGTCCCCTCATGCTCACTGTCGGCGGATCGGATGGCGCAGCGGATAACTCGATGGATTCTGGATGGGACGACGCGCGGGACTTTATGGATCGGATCCTCCTTGCGGGAATTTTCTTTCATTTGTCATCTATTCGTTCGCGTTCCTGTGTGTCTAGCAGTGGAAATAAGCCAAGTAAATTTATGCTCGTTCCATCGTTCATGGCGTACGCCTGGGTGACCGCTGAGTATGTCGAAGAGCATCCTGGACCATTTCCGACCGACTCCGGATCCAACGAAGAGATGTTGTCGTCCCTTGTCAAGAAGACAGTAACTGTTCTTCTCTGGCGTTTGTCAGGTGTAGTTGGTGCAATAGATGCATATGCTTCACATGTTTTGTTGAACTTTACCACAGTTGTTAGATTTGTCTATCAATGAAGGGAAAGGTTAACGTAACGAGACGAGAACATTCCCGGAAACAGGCTTCTCCACACAACCGAGCTGGTTTGTAAGGTATCAGAATGAAGAATATGCCTTCAAATGGCATATACTTGGCTTATTTCCACTGCTAGACACACAGGAACGCGAATGAATAGAAAGCTGACAAATGGAAGAAAATTGCAGCAAAGAGGATCCGATCTAAATACCGTACCGTCGTCCCATCCAGAACCCATCGAGTTATCCGCTGCAACATCCGATCCGCCGACAGTGAGCATAGGGGGACCGCTGACAGAAACATCACTGT